GTTTTATCATCTTTCTTCGTTGTCGATCAAAATCACACCTCTAGTCAATTATCTTTTTTAGAAGTAAAGTTAGGATTACCTGAAGTTTGCTCCTGTAGAAAACTGACTTGTAAGAGTTTCGTAGTAAAAGAATAATGGTCTTCAAAACGGAAAAAAAATAGATTTGTTGAACCATTTCAACGCCAAAGTTGGTCCAATAGTGCTTCTGTCATTTTGAAATCTGCTCATTTTTTAATTATTGATAGAACAGCAGGTAGTGAACTTTTTGGGAGGCTGAAAAAATATTCAAAAAACAGCCAATAGGATGGAATTATTTGCCGAGAAATTCACAGTGCGGAAAAGGAAGAAATAACAAATGAATGACAAAAACTACAAAAAAAAAAAAAAATTTCTGATAGCTGAAGTCATTTTTTCAAAATCTTTTCAGGTCAAACTAAAAATGTATGATCCTTACAACAACAAAATGACAAGAACGATGCTAGTGAAAAAATTTTAGCAGTCAATCGTTAACTGTTTAACTGGAAACAGTTTAATACTTTATGGATACAGAAAGATGCTTAAACTTTTAATTTTTTTTTATCTCAGACTACGGTCTATCGTTTTCATCCTTTTTTTTTTGTTGTAAAAGTCAATTTTTGTAAATAAATCACTGGATGCTTTGTAGCACACTCAAAACAATAAACAAAAAGGAAGAAAAAAATGCACACGTGCACTCGGTTATGATCTATTAATACTAGTAAAAAGTTGAATTTTGGACAAATATTTGTTCCAAAACTTGGTGTAACATTGCTGTCGGCTTTAATACGTACTTGGCTGCCTCAAACGACCACAGCAGATACCGTTATGACGCCTTAGATGCTGCCAGAAACCATCTGAACACTGGTTTAAGTTGCTGGTGAACCAGTTTAGATGGATTAGATAAATAGGTACTTTAAGAATAAATACTTCAAAGATGAAAATTTTTTTTCACAAATAATCTTCAGAAGTTATAGAGGAAAGTGTGAAAGGCAAAAACGATGTTCCAGAAGAACTGATATTATATTAGCAATGTTTGTTAATGTCTTCCACTGCACACTCTTATTTTAGCAACTTTTGATAACAGTGACAGATTAAGTGAGCGCTTGAAAAAAGGAAAAGAAAAGTGGCAACAAAATAACTGTTAGAATATAATTTGTTTTTCTTTCTAGTCTCTAAAATTTATTTAGCTTAAAATATGTCTAATCCAGTTGAAACTCATAAAATTTGAAACTTATAAAGTGACTTTAGGATCCCCCGAGCAGTAAAAGAAAAAATATGGTTTTAGAAAAAACTGTAATTTTTATCATAACTGTTCAGCACTTTCTCTTTTTTTTTTTCAACAGATTCAACTGATAAGATGAGTTTAAATTAGACAATGTTTTATGCTGATAATGGTGATATTTGCATTAAATATAACGTATGACTGTATACTAGTGATGACATTTAGCAAACATAATGTCACATAAACTTATCTTTTTTCATGTTTCTTACTGTCTTTATAAGAGTGGTAATAATACTGATACTCTCAGTTTACCATATAATTTTTATAGTTTAATTTGTCTTAGAAAAAGAACTGTTTGAATTGTTCAGCTATTATGAGACATCAAGGTTGAGAAAAAAGTGTGTTTTGAAGGATTTATGTAAATTAACCAATAAATATTGATAAACTATGCGCTCATTTTAAGTTTGAACAGAAATGGTAAAGGTTAAGCCATAGTATTTGAAAGAGAAGTTTAAAAAAAATTGTTTAAGTTTTCTTTTTTTTTTTTTTGAAACTTAGTTTGAAAGGACTATCCTTTGGTCGGGCCAATCATACACTTTTCTTTTAATTCTTGACGACATTCAGCAGTAGGTTAAATTCAGGTTTAGAAATTTTAATTTGACCAAATTATTTATTCAATCAATTTATTTACATAAAAATAATATAAATACAAGGGTAAAATGTTAACAAACAGTTTAACAGAATTACACTGTTTTACACTAAACTTATAAGCTGTTATTTTTGGAAGCTTAAAAGGAGAATAATAGTTAAGAAAGCGTTTCTGCTAGATTTATCCTTTAAATTGTCCGACTACAACTGTATCAATGGGATAATCGCCGAAAAATGGATTATGGCTATCGGATAAGCAATGATCAGTTGAGCACAAAATTAATTGTGTTTATATGAGTGTTTGTTTAATGTTTGTGTGTCTGCGTGAATGCCTCTGCAACTGTTTAATATCAGTATTGTGTGTCTGCGTGTCTGTGTCTGGGTCTGTGTCCACGTCTGAGTGAATCAGTTTACGAGCTGATAGAGCAGAAATTGCTGTGGAAAGAAGCAGCTGTTGAATAGTTAGCCTACAAAATTGCCTAAGAACATTTGAGACACATTTAAGCATTATTTATCCAAGCATCTATCTATCTATCTATCTATCTATCTATCTATCTCTTCATCCGTCTATCTATCGATCTACCTATCTGCTCAATCTATCTATTTGACTATCAAACTATCTAATCACTATCTTAGTTCTACGTCTTATTCTTGGTGTTATTGTTATTGTTGTTGTTGTTATTTGAAAAAAAAGTTTTTTTTTTTTTTGCATTATTACGCTGCTTTTTATGTCCCAAGTAAAACTATCTACAACAATACCACTGTGTCAATGATGCATTCTGTTCTTCTTTTTGTGTATATGTAATTTTTTTTTTCTTCTTTCTTCTTCATAAATCGATTATTGTTTTTTGTTGTTAAATTTAGTAAAAAAAAAAAGTTTATTTATTTGTTTATTTGTTGTAGTCTGTTTTTTTTTTCCCCGGCAATTTCTATCCCGATTGATCCATCATCTTTTTATAGTCAAAAAATTTTATTTGTTTAAATCTGTCTTCCTCAATACTATTGCTAATGTTGTTGCTGCAGTTTTTAACTGAAATATTGTCGTTGATCTCATTTATCACCTGATCATTTGTACAGAAAACTATGTTGATTATTTGTTGTTTAACGTGAACAAATATATCTTTAAAGAGATCATTTATTGAAATAATAATATTTCTGTTATTTTTGGTCTATTTTTCTGTAATTTTTTATTTTGTTTTTTTTTATTTTACTTTCTTAACAGTTTATTATTTAAGAATATTGGTTTTGATCAAAAATCAAATACCTCTTGAAGAAATTATTGCTTCAACTATAATTGTTATTACTGTTTTGACTACTGTTATTATTATTGTTTTCGTAGAGGCAATTATTATTTTTTGATATTAACAGATGCAGACAAGCATTTGTGAAAAAGTTGTTACACCTTACACAACATTTTCAACTTTTCTTTTTTTTTTTTTGGTTCACTTTTAAAAATTATCGCTGAAACAGAAAGAGAGAGAAAAAAAGAAAGGGAAAAACCAGATGTTTAAGTGAAAAATTAATTAAGTGAGAAAATTTTTAATACTTTCTCTTCTTCGAGGATTGCCCTATGTGAGTGAAGACGGTTTTCTCCATATCTGTACAAAATCCTTGTCTAAAGGCTGTAATAAGACTGGTTTGTAAAACATAAGCAATAATTTCTATTTAGCTAAAAAACAGACAAGAGTTAGTAAACTGCAACTATTCTCACCTTTTTTCCCGTAAGTTTAGTTTACAAATTTCACTTTTTTCGTGTAACAATATTAAATCAACTTGTTTCCTGACGTTTGCGTTGTCTCAATTAACCAATCCATTGATAACCTTATTTCAATATTTGCTGATTAAAAAAAAAAAAACGTATATAAAATGTGTAAACCCTATCAGAAACGGTATTTGTTAAACTTAATCAAAATTTGTAGATAACATGGAGAACTATCCATCTTATCAAAGACCGCTGGACGAACCAATATGGGGAAGAAGCAGCTACGATATTCATCACAGTACAGCGCCGATGCAGTCAAGCAGCGTGTTAACCCAGTCGCCTTGTCCTCACCACACAACTGTTGTGCAGTCGTCTTCAAAACCTCCTGCCGAATCCGATATTTATAGGTAGATTAATTTTCCTATTATATCTCTACAAGAAAAAAAAAGTCGATAGTTCTTTAATGAAAGCTGTTGACCAAAATTGTTGCATCAAGCTACTTCCTTTTCCATAAAGTGATGTAAAAGTGGACAACAGGTGAAATAAAAGTAATCCGTTGTTTGACTGTTAATGCGGTCACCTTTAAACTCTTTTAAATGATTGGTTTCTGTGGATGAAAAAAATTTTGGTATTTTTTGTTAGCGAAAGAAATGGCTCCGATATTGACATTATTGTTATTACAAAGGAAATATTAAAATAGTTTTGCTCTCATTGATTTTTGTTGCCGCTTACAAGTACGCAAAAAAGGTCTAATTTAAATGCTGTATTTAGTAACACAGCACTGAAATATAACCAGCTAAAATACTGCTGTTGAAATGTAATCATTCTGTTGCAGGGTGGGCATATATGGTTGGAGGAAGCGTTGTTTGTACTTTTTTATTTGCACACTTACCATTGTTGTTATCCTGAATCTTATGGTTACCGTATGGTTGCTTAGAGTGCTAGATATATCCCAAGTAAGTGTTGTTTAAATCAAAAGTTAGAAAATAAAGAAACATTCAAATATTACTGAACCGTAACGGTTTATCTGGAAAACAATCTGAGACACCAAATTAAAAAAAATCCTTGTTAGTTTTTGTACTCTGCAGACTTTCTCATAAAGCTTTTTTTTAATCTGTATTTGAGTGGTTTCTGCAGAGCGGTTAATGAATGCTGAAAATTTTGTTTCTCTTCATTTATTCTGAAAATCTCGTCTGAATTGTCTGCTACATTTTAACAGGAAGGAATGGGAGCTATGAAAATTGGTGATGACAGTCTACGTATAATAGGTGAGGCTCAATTCGAAAGGCCAGTACGATTTAACGAACTTTCCACATCATTGGTACGGCAGCATTTGTAAAACTGTCTTCTAAAGCACATATAGAATGCTCAGCTTTTTTGTTCATTTCATTGCTTTAGGGCGGAACGCTAAAAATCGAATCATCTGAAGGTGTTAATATAATTGCACGAAATGTAACGGCACATCAAACAGCTTCATTAAATATGAAATCAGATGGGACAACGGAAGCAATCTGTGACCAGTTTGAGATCTGGGACAACTCTAAGAAGAAGATATTTTTTGCGAATTCCAAAGAAGTTGGCATGAAGCTTGAAAATCTACATATTTTAGGTAATGTATATTCTCTTATAATAGTGTAAAATTTTTCACAAAAACATTTATATTAAATAAAATTCTGTTAATTTATATAGACGTTTGTAATTTGAGATTCTTAGCGGTGTCTGATATCACATATTTCACCGAACGAAATAACAAAAAAACCGCAGTTTAACGAAAGAAATTAATGTTTGAAAGACAAACGAATAGAAATTTATTGGAAAGCCAATTGAAAATACTGAAAATTTCTAGCAAAATATATAAGTTAAGCCATTATGGATAAACCTTCACAACTGCATCTCTACTGTTCACTCAACAAAAATATTGTTATTTCGAGGTTTCTTAGTCCGTTAAGTTGACAGGGAATTATTGTTTTTAAATTCATTTCCTAAAAAACTACATACTTGTTGTGCCTACAGTATCTGTTGAAGGGTAAAACACAACTTATTTCGTTTTGTAGATTACTGGTTGTTGTTAAGAAGTATAAAAAATGAAATATAAAGATTTATAAAATAAATTGATAATTTATAAGCAAAAAATTATTTATGACAGTCTCAGTGGTGAGTAACCGAATTCTTTTATGTTTCTTTTTAGAAACTGCACTTTTATTTAAAACTAGCAATGTACTGTATATGATAAACAAACAAACTTAACTCCACTGAACAATATTTAGTTTTCTGCTAGATTTATGTTCTAAAATAAAACCGTTAATAATTTATAGGTGTTTAAGTTAGACATCTATTAACAATAATGAAACTAGTAATGCATTGTGTAGTACCCTGTAAACAGTATTTAAGACTATAACAGATAAAGATCAGCCAGGTTCTTTTAAACAAATGTTATATTTAAAAAAAAAACAAAATTTTTTTCTTCACATAAATCATTATCACCTCGTTACACTAGAAGAAGAAGGGAAGAAAAGAAAGGAGAGGGTAAATGAAAGAAGGCAGGGAGCGACTTTAAGAAGCTGGCTGTTTACCATTTGGGACTGATTAAGAGGTCGAATAAATTTTCAAATCTGCTGCATAATAACCAAGAAAGAAAGAAAAATTACTTTTCAGATGACGGCGGAAGCATATTTGAAGGGGCAATACAGACGGACTTAGTACGTCCACTTTCGAATAAGCCATTGAGGTAAAGTATTACTTGACGTGTATGTGCTGTTTCAGCCATTTATTCAAACGTTAACTGGTTAGGGTAATTAAATTAGAAGAAATAATTAGTTGTTAATTTCAGTCTTGAATCGCCCACTCGAAGTCTGAAATTAGATGCAGGACAGGACATTGAGTTGAATAGTGCAGCTGGAGAGATCCAGTTGTCATCACTAAACGACATCACTCTTTCTTCAAAAAAGGTGTTTTTCAGTCTCTTAACCTTTTGACACTGTTAGTTACCACACTAAAAGAATATGAATGAAACGAAATTCAGAGCTGTTGATTCAGCAAAAATCCTCTTTTTTTTTCTTATTTCACGGTACACTTCAACACTACTTTTTTTTTTTTTTTTTTAACGAATAAAGTTTAAAAAACTAGGCGAACTATCGGGCTTGAAAGCACTATATGAAAGTGTCATTGCATTTTTGAACTTCCTAAAGTTAGTATTCGGATATATAATTCATACAACTTAGTTAAAAGTTGCTTTGAAGGTTGAAAAAAGAAAACGAATGTACTACACCCTTGTTGATTGTAATCTTCTTACACTGTTTCGCAATCCTATGGTTTAAAATTGTGGTAACTGCTGCCACTAAACCTGGTGTTCTAGAATATTCCAAAACTTATCTTAGTCTAAACTGTCATGGGTTAATAATTAGTAAGACGATGATTAGAGCGTTAATTTTCAGGGAGCAATTCGATTAGAATCCAACGACATTTTCATATCTGGATTACCAAAATTTGAGGGTCGAACGGGAATTTCACATTTCCAACTTTGTATGTGCGATAATGGTCGACTGTTTCTTTCAGCCCAGGGGGCAGATTGTCGTGCTGAGAGTCAAATATGCGGTTGACATGTTTCACTGATAAACTGTTCAAACAGCCGTTTTCAATTTTCACTTAAAGTTTCTTTGACAGTTTTTCTCTGTAAGCTTAAATTTTCTTTTAGAAATTGTGATCTTTTTTGTTGTTGTTTTCCAATGTTTCTTTACTGCGTTTTAGGTATATCAAAGCCTCTTCTGTTGATCGCCCACATTACGCTACTTTTTTTTCCCCGTTTACTGCATATACCTTATTTTATGGTTACTTCTATTTCTGAAAAACTCCACGAGAAAATTCCGGTCATAGAATTTTTTTAGAAGCACTGTTAATGCAGGCTTAATTTTACGTCTTTCATTGAATTTATTTAAGAACTTTCTAGTAAAAGTAATCTCCTTGAGAATTAGAAAAGAAAAAAGGACAAAAAAAATTAATGACTGTTTTTTGTTTTAAAAACCTGTCTACTTGAACGGAAGTGAATTGTTCATAATTTGAAAGAAAGTTTGTAGAGTGTATTTGGTAACGCGAAAGTGTCCAGTGAAATGAGCAAATATTCAAAAAAAAATTATACTTTAACTTTTGCTCACATATCCGCTTTCTTTGCGTAGTTTACTTCAAAATTCTTAGTTGAATTATACTCAACTTTATCTTTTAACTAAAGGAATATCCTATTGTGAAATGTACTTTTCAGTTTTCTCTCTTTGACTTTCATTTGTTGTATGGCAGCCATTTATGGCTTACCTTTACCAACGAACCACAAATTTAGGCAACTGATAAAACTTCCTCTCTTGCCGTTGGTCATTCATTCATCCGTTTTTTCCGTACATTTGAACGCATTAAAATTTTGCTTTGATCAATAGTTGCAGTTCGCCAAAAAAAACTTGCTACTATCTGACTTTTATTGTCTTTTTCTCATTTCCCTTAGCTCTGGCTGTTTAATTGGTCCGCAGAGTTCTTTGCTTGGTAGCCTACAGGTTAGATAATCTAAAAAGATTTCGGGTACATATGTAGGTCTTCAGGTTCTGAAAGCTACATTTTATGGTTGAATCGTAACAAATCTCTCTCTTTTTAAAACACAGGTCTTGGTGATTTTACTACGCTTCTCCTTCCTAACTAAACAACCACTAACACCATAAACTGGTAAAACCAAGACTGAAAACAGCAATCAGAGGGCCATATGTACAGGGTTCTTGCTAATTAATTCTTTTTAAAAAAGTAAGCGTACACAAACCGTATTCAGTAAGGATATGAAAGATCTGCAACCAATTACTGTTATAAAAAACCTGCAGAGTTAAACATTTTTATTATAGGCGTCGTCGTTTCCAGTTTCGCGTGAAAATTTTTTCGCGGCAGAATGAGAGGTGCAGTAGTTAGATCGGCTGGAATCTCATCATAGTTGTGACCGACATTAACAATGGGCTTTGTTTAGCTGGTTCATTTTTGGAAATCTGCGGATTTTTTGACATCATTCGATTCCTCAGAAAACTATCGATCTATTGCTATTTCGTGCTGATACGTAGCGTCGTTGTCGAGATATTTGCAGAAATTTGACGTCAAAGCTCATTTTTAAATTGCTATTTTTCTGTGATTTTGTATTGAAAATTGAAGATGTTTGGATTATACGATTTTTTTTCTTTTTTTTCATATAGGTTCCTTGAAGTACGCTTTTCAAAAAAATTAATTTTGATCGGAAGTTTGCCAAGCTTTTTTTTTTGCAGATTTGCTTTTTATCGAGGGATTTGCAAAGTATGATGATATACAGCTGGGCCGATTGGTTATATCCGCCCACCAATAAATTCTAATTTATTTTTTTTCCTTTCATTAAGTATTTTTGGATTTTTATTAAGTTATACGACGGTTGTCCTGTCCTCATAAGGGTTACATATATGATATACAACATAGTATATATTACTGTATACGGTGTTATATATTCTAAACATCTCAAAATTTTCTTAAATTTTGCTGATTAGTAGAGTCGAAGGCGGTATAGAAAAAGCCGAAAAAAAACCTGGAAAAGTGAATTCCCCGCCAAGTTACAC